TCTACCCAAACAGCCATGTAGGAAATATTTGCCTACATTAGGGTAATTCCACACATGGAGCCTGTGGGTTGGCAACATTGGGTAATTGGTCTGTTCAGTTCGGTTCCTTTGGTCAGTTTTGCCCACCGTCGATCGTTGGAATATGAATTCATCTACTGCTAGGCTCTGACTGACCCTTTTCCCCTGCAATCCCGGATCCAATCAGCCTCTTCAGTGTAGCTGGCCTCTTCCGGGCAAATGCGTGGAACTGCGTCCATCGGTGTGACGCTTAAGTCGTCGACCGGTCCTCAAAATCGATAGGCAGGTAATTCAGGTGATTCAATAACTCTAGAACAGGAGTTCCCAAGGGGTGCCGAACTTGGAGGACTGGGGTGCCCGGGTGCCCATTATCCACTCACTTAACGGCCAAAATTAGTGACTCCTGGTGGTGTGCAATTCGATCTCTACACCATCGGCATTCGATGCCGGGATGGTGTTGAGACTGTCCACCGTGAGTTCATCAATTCTTCCTCCCGGGCCCCGAGCGGTTCATTGGAACTGCCGGCCGGGGGTTCACAGGACCTGCAAACAGCATCCGGTTCCGGAACTGATCTTGTCTCAAGATGTCTCAAGGTTGAGTTGCACATCCATTGGGGGAACCCGTGCGCTATTAACTTCACAATCCACGCCAATGTGGTTCCTCACTATGTCCATCTGCTGTGCTCTCTTTCCGCTCTTTTTGCTGCCAGGGCCACCCAGCGAATGCTGGAGGGGAGGATTTTCTTGGAGACAGCACAATGCACCATTTTTGTGAAAATACACCTCCAAATCAATTTCTTCCAACCGCAGTCATCCAGTACCACAATGGGTGATTTGTGGATCTTCATTTTCTTGAAATAAACCCGTGGAAATTTGTGCCCCTGCCATCCCCTAACGCCGATTTGGGTGCACAGGTGCACAGTCGGCCAGGCCAACAAATAATTGTTTGTACCTCAAAAAGGTGCGCCGAGCGGCAAAAGCAAAGAACAATGGACCGGCTACAATAATCCGAACTTATGCGGATGTATACAATCACTTCGCATCACTGCCATTGAGACAAGGACCACGAACCAGGCCATTTGGCTGTTCCATTCCTATTATTGTTGCCATGCCAGGTGGAAATTTGTGCCCAGATTCGATTCTAGCACCGTCACGCCGCAGAATTTTCAAGAACACGCGACACACAGCCTGCTAAATCCCTTGCGCTCTTGCGCTTGCACCAGTCCAAAGTAAAATGCCTAGCATCCACATCCTCCCCTGCAAGGCCACGAATTAGGACAACAGGCCGTCCGGCCCGTGAAACGGAATGCGCTTTTTTGTGCGTGGACTTGGGATCACAATCGCCTTGTTCTCCTGCGCATTGTTCTATTCCCCGTTCTGTATCGGATCTCGCTTGCGCCCTTCTCATGGTCCAGTACCCGGAATGTTACAATGTCCCCAAATCACCCATAACACCATCCAAACTCCAGCGGCCCATGGGGCTACTGTAAACGCACCGTGTCACCGATTCACCCTTGTTCTGCATCTTCGAAGCCTACTCACGGCTCTCATGAAGCCCACCAAGCTTGGCGCACGAACTCGAAGGGCCGACTCAATCAGGCCGACGCTGACCTGCGAATGGAGCAGCCATGGTGGGGGTGCTGCACCCCGCGGAAGTCGGTCCGATTTCGGAAGGCAATGCTTGGGGCCTTGCTTGCCCCTTCCGGTGGCCACAACGTGCTTTAGCGCTTAGCTGCGGGACTTTGGGCTGGCTGTGACGTCGCCTCGAACATTCTGTAGGGTACACCTCTTGCTGGGGTCATGCAATATGTCACACGGGATCTGCTCTGCTCCTCTGCAGGGGTTGTCTGCGTCCGCGACAGGCATCGGCAACCGTTTGTGTGTGAGCTGGTTTGAACCTTCCCCTGCGATCATGCTTCCTTGGTTGAAATTTGTACAACTGGGTGTTCATGGTCCAACTTCCAAACCTGCCTCATCTCATTCCTGCACTTGTCTTTGGAACACAAAATTCAATCGTTCTGGCCCAGGAATGATAAACCCCACCACACTTCCCACCCAAAGGATCACGTTTGAGCATAGTAACCAGAAACATAATAGTTTACCAGTTGCCTGTACGCCTCACGGCCCTGCATTGAGTCGTCCAATCTTTGTTGGATGAGGAGCGTCGTCAAGTTTGACGGTGTGGGGACGGTATTTTGGAGGTATGTGTGACATTATTCGTTGGTCTCCAACACTCCAAGCCTTCTAGGGTAAAACAGGCAACGAATCATGCTGTTTGACCCCAAATGCCTTACACTATCTGTGCTACCCAAAATGGGGGGGCACCCTTCCCCGCAACGCCTTCCTCTTAGTAGCAGTCTGGCTGTCAGCAAAGAACAAAACAGGAGTGTTGTTTTGCAGAAAGCCGCGGAGAAGAAAATGAAACTCACGGACTTGTTGTGAGCTTCTGTGATGAAACTTATTCAGTCTGATCTTGATGAAAGGGGAATGAAAAGCGTGAGTCATGGATATATTTTGGATGTGGATCATGTTGGTCAAAGAGTCTGGCCCCAAAAAGTGAAGAGCAAAGGCCAGAAAAGTCAACAACCTGAGACAGGGATGAGTGCACAATTGTCTACAGTGGGGCATCTCAGGCGGTGTAGTACAGTAGGAGTGCTTTTGGCAAAATGTCTGGTACACCTTTCACCATCCCCACCCCTTAGAGGCTGCCGTGCTTGATTCACAGCTGTCACTTTCTCCAAAAATACACCACTTCATCCACACCAAGTCATGGAAACGCCCCTCTTTCAACTCTTTTCGGGAACCATGCCAGCTCAGAATTCAAAAAATGCACTTATATACTAACAATCATTAAACACACACATTGAGGTTAGGACCTAGAGTGCCAAACCAACCTTTTCCTGTGGGTGTTGCTGGTGATTTCCCACTATCCCCTGGTCAGAACGCCCCTCTTCACCCACCTGGATCGGGCGGAGGCTGGGGCCAACCGATCCCGGCAGCCGCGGCCACTTTTCGGGCCGCCCGGGCCTTCCTGGGAGGGCGCGGCACAGACGTCGGTTTTCCCCGATGCGAGGTCTGTCGGAGTGGATCGCTTTCGGAGTCGAGCCAGGTCATGCCCAAAAACGACCAGGTCTTGATTCTTCAGGCTGGTCATGCTCCAAAGGCTGGTGGGATCCCTTCACAGTGGCCGTCACGCCCCAGCAGACCTTCTGCGGGCCAGGGCAGTTTCGAGAGCTTTTTCCGGGATGAGCGTTTCGTGTCACTGGGCTTGTGACACTCCCCGGAATAGTCATGGAAGTGGACAACTAACCCCCGGTTTGTAGAGGAAAATGGTCATCCTGTTGGCACGTAACCATGATAGTTCCAGGGAGTGTGGCGGCTGGGTGTGGATCAACCCGCGTGGGTGTCACGGACTGTGACCCTCTGGCATCTTTTGGCGACTCAGTTCGTGGCTGCGATTGGCATCCACAGCCGGTGTCCTGGGAGGTTTCAACCTCAGCGAACAAAACCCACGATCGCCGGAGCCCACAACTCGCAGACTGGGTGAATGTCACGCAGAAATTGCATCTAACTCTAACTAAACTATATATATACACTTTGAGAGACGTCCCTCCACCATTTGAGCTCGGACGTGCAAAAAGACCAGCTGCCGCCTTTCTGGATTCCCTACGCCAAGGGAATGGCAATCTTTCGGGAGTCCTTCCCGAAAGGCCTGCCTTGGTCTTCCAGAAAAACACCCTCATGAACTGATGTTATCTATATATCTAAAAGTCGAATATATCACATCCTTCTGTGGAAGCGACCATGACCTGCCCGGGCAGCTCGATGGCGACTGCACTCTCCCTGAACTGAACTCATTCCTCATTTGAGGTTGTTGTCCATTCATATTCACATCATGAGTGATAATCATGCTAATAGTTTCACATTGAATGCATTCCTGCTGCAGGTACAGTTTCTACCGTTGTACAGTATTTCATGTCACCTTCATCAACAAAGTGCAGTTCCCGTGCTGGGGAAAATACAAAGGATGACAAAGGCACCAACCGCAAGGCCCCTTCCAAATCCTTCCAACACCCCTGAATGACATGGCGTCGCCTCTGTTTTGTCTCAATGCGTTGCTGAGATTGACTTGGAAGGGCGATGCATCTTGCATCGCAGGTCACCAGATCGGGTGAAGTGGAGCATCCAACGCAGGTTGAGGACGCACAAAATGGCCGAATTCCCCCAGAGCCATGGCCCACTAGGAGGTGTTGCAAATGTATTGCGGCAACAAGGCTGCCCCCCATGAAGCCTCCAAGGCCTTCCAATAAGAACTTCTTTATTGTGCCCCCCCGAGCTAACATAGCAACAACCTAGCAAAGGAAAACGGGTGGACTTCCAACATGCGGGTGAGGTGCTGCTTTTTTTGCGAGATTAACTCGTGCCAAAGAGACCGGGAGCACTCCATGGGTTCGCGGGAAGAAACCGGGACACTTCAACCAAGTGCATTCATGCATCAATTACACGGGCAGGTGCCAAAATCTGATCACCCTGCCTGCTGACAAAGGTATTCACGGATGCCGTGAGGAGACTCGTGAGTGTCTCTCTCTCGGGGCATCCGCCAAAATCAATCATCTGGTAGGTCAGGACGACCTTGTACTTCATCGTGAGGCCCTGAGCAAAAAAGTATATTCTTTGTGTCTATGTTTGCTCCAGTGCCGCTATAACGATTGGGAAGTGAACTTCCTTGAGGATATATTTATACTGAATATGTTCTTTATTTAGTTATACTGATGTTATTGGGGTTGGGGTGAGGTTTGAGGGTTTACACAGATCCTGGTTGGACCGTGTCCTTGAACATCCATCGAACAGCCACATGACTTGGGAAGTGAGGCAACTATAGCCAACTCACACGACTTGGTCCAATCATCAACTCTCTTGGACCTCGCTGACTCTGCGAAAACCTTTGTTTCTGATTTCGCTTGGCCCCGGACCCCGCCGGCTCAGCGGAGGACCACGTCGCCGCTCACGGCGCGGTGATCGGATCCGGCGGCCCGAGGCCAAATCTGCGACTGGACGATGGCATCGCCCACGGGCAAAGGCGTCTTCTGGAAGTAGACGTAGTCCTTGGGATGGATGAGAGGAGATGAACGTAGTCCGGGAGGAGACGTCGTCCTTGGCGTCTTCTACTGTAGAAGATGGACATGTCCATTTTTGGCATGGGCCTGGAATTGCAGGGGAGAACAACTTGCATTGCCCATGCAGGTTGATGTGGGGTGGGATGTGGGATGAGATGAGGTGCACATGGGATGGTTGCGTTGCATGACACCAGCAAAGAACTGCTGAGTGAGTAGCCGTAGCTCTCGGCACATAAGGGGGCAATGTGGAAAGTGTATCTAGAAATGTGTCTATACATCAAGAGAGAGAGATACACATATTAATTGCTCTATTGTATGTCTGTATTCATGTTGTATGATGCATGTGATTTTGTAGTTTATGACTGTCTGGAAGCATGTCTTCATGATGCCGAGCATTGGCTTGCCTCTTGGGTGGCGGTGGCGGGTATATGTCAACTTCCCTCCTCTGGCCTCATCACTTTCCAACTGAGCCAGGTGAGTCTTGGGATTTTTTCCTGTCGGATGCCCTGGGCCTGGAGATGGCCCGTGAACTGCAGCTAGGTGGCAGCCCACGCAGGAGGCTGTACCACCCTACGTAGTAGACCGCATTTGTGCCAGGTAGTTCCATACAATTCCCCGATAGGCAAAGAATACTCGAAACTCGGATGTTGTGCAAACTGCAGCTCAACTTGACTCAGATTCCATGCAATTCCATCGACGGGCTTTTGGTTCATCCCAAGCAGCCAAGCGCACCGGGTCGTTGTTGATGGTGGAGGGGTCCGGGTTCCCCGGGTGAAGCTCTGCCCAGGCATCCTGAGGATGAGCTCAATGGCTGAGAAGAAAAACCTGTTGGTCACAGAACTGCTTCTTTGGTCAGAGTTTTGGAGTGGTCCTCTGTGCGCTAATCATCCCCTAGCAGCTTGGCAGGACTGGACGAGAAATATTTATGGGTGCTCATGGATGTCAACGCTGCAAGTCTTAAAGACTTCTGGATTTACTGGGAGACCACCGTTTTGTCAAAGTCGTAATCCTCAACAGAGTAGAAAGTCTTGATTATCTGTTGTCTTAAAGTCTTAGTTAGTCTTAGTTGTCTTCAAGTACGTGATACGTATTGTATGCGATACGAAGAAAGAGATCAAAATGTTTCTCACGAACTTTTTACCCCACAATATATGGGAGTTGATCTAAATTCCTTTATCCGGGATCCGTCATTTTCGCCCAAAAAAAATTTACTTTCGCCAAACTTTCGCCTTCCTGCGTTTTATCTTTCGCCGAAGTACGTTGTATTTATGTGTGCCATGTATGTTGTGTTTTGTCCACGTCAATGGCTTCTTCTTTACTGGCAAACACAAAATAGAAACTTCACTGTTTGTCAGCATGTGTCTTCTACTTAACTGTTGACACCCTGTACGTCTCTTTTGTTTCTCCTGGGTGTCAGCAAGAATCAAAATTGCAAGAATCACTGTAGTAGCCGGTCACTCAAACTTACTCATAATGGGCTGGGGGTCAGATGTGGCAGGGTGAACTTTCGCCAATCTTGAGCTGAACTTTCGCCAAACTTTCGCCTTTTGCGGGGTAGAGTTTTGTGGCAAAGCCACCCCCCAAAGCAGGAGCAGGAATAGTAGTAGTAGTAGTAGTATAGTAGTAGTAGTAGTAGTAGTAGTAGTAGTAGTAGTACTAGTAGTAGTAGTAGTAGTAGTCGTAGTCGTAGTAGTCGTAGTAGTCGTAGTGGTAGTAGTAGTAGTAGTAGTGGTAGTGGTAGTGGTAGTGGTAGTGGTAGTGGTAGGTAGTGGTAGTGGTAGTGGTAGTGGTAGTGGTAGTGGTAGTGGTAGTCGTAGTAGTAGTAGTAGTAGTAGCAGCCGCAGCAGCAGCAGGTTATCTAACTTCCACAGCTCATCTAGCTTCTGAGTCACTGCCACCAGCTGTTCAGAAAGCAAATGAACATTCATACAAAAGCACATATTTAATCTTTCGCCAGATCTTTCGCCAAAAAAATAATTTACTTTCGCCAACTCGAGAAAAAACTTTCGCCAAATGAGATTTTGATATGTTCCGGGTCATCGTCATACACACTGCTGACTAGGACCTTTAGATCGACAACCATATATATTGTCTTTGGCCGGGGAAGGTCTCCTGGTAACTGACCCCAAGAGGGGGCAGAACAGCAATGAAAGAGTGATTCGCCTTACGGCACCTTTTGGACATTTCCAATGTATTTGGTGAATTTGGTGAATATGAACGTTACGAATTCTCTCGGTAGTCCCTCTAAAATGTGGGCTAACTGTTCCATACCTCCAAGACTCCAAAAACTGCCAACGATGCCCCACGTACTGCCCCACGTCATCCCGAAAGGAAAAACAGTAATCCGTCTCCTCGGGAGCTTGAACTTCGGAAGACCCCCCCCCACTACATTTTGGCACATGTTGAGCAATCACACCCCTAGATTACTTGTTGATGGTTGCTGCATGTTTTCTCTGCGACGGCATTGGTTGAAGCCCAGGGAGGAAAAAAAACAACTTGCTTCCTTCAAAGCATCCTTCTAAAACGCTGCTAGGTCCAGTCTCGGAGGCTCTCCCTCCCTCCCTCCCTCCCTCCCTCCCTCTCTCTCTCTCTTTCTCTCTTGGAGTTTAGAAGGAGCGATCTTCCAAGACCGTTTTCTCCTGCTGTCCAGCATCAGTGAAAGTCATGGGAATCTGCCAGTGTCGACCAAAGGCATCCTGAGACTCTCCGCAAGGCGGCGATAGCGCGAGGCACTTGGATGAGGGTGCATGCTCACCGCTACACAATGTAACGGTCTTGCTCTTCAAACGACTATGCTTGTCGAACAGCCAACAGTCATAGACTACTATGTTAGAATGTTCTTCTATATGTAGCTCAAGTCTCTCCACACCCATGATGGAGAGCATCCTCAAGCCAGGAATGTTGAGCAATCCCAGCATCCGTCAATATCTGTTCTCACGGTCGTAGATGCAAAGTGGTGTTTCTTCATCCCATCAACAACCCTTCAAAAAAAGTGAAGAGTATAAGCACCCTAAACCCTAAACCCACATGATGTGGCCCACATGGAAGAAACTGGCGCCAAGGTAAAGGACTGCAACTGGCAAAAAAACATTTAAACAAGAAAACCTCCTCCATGGCTGATGTGCTTCTCTCAGAACAGGGACCTTCCTCGTGGTACACCCTCCCTCGAGAATCGGCCGCACGAATCCGACGGTGTCTTAACTCCTGGGAGTCAGACCTGCGCGCTGAGCTTGCTCGATACAGTCCTGACATGTACCAGGACCGACACCAAGAGGTGTCCATAAATAGCCTCTTAGAGGTCAAGGGGTGTCCAAAAACCACCTGTTGGACATCCGACGGGCCACAAAGAGCCGACTTGGGCACGGTCAGCCTGTCATTTTACGCACCCTCAGCCCACGCAGGTCCGCCCCAAAGACATTCATCTGCCAGCGAGACAAGTGTCCATATGTCCATGCCTCAGGAGCTGCTGAGAGGGCTGGAAGTAGCCGGTGTTCAAATCGCCCATGAGGACCTCGACCATGTTCCGCACGCGACTCGGTGCCGAAAGGGGTGCTAAAGAAGATCGTTTTATGTTGGATGCATCTCCGAAGTTCACCAAACACCTGCAACACCACATGGCCGAGTCTGCAAAGGATGACTTTGGTGGTCACTTCAAGAAGGATACAGTGTATATTACGTATACTTATATATAATCAAATGGAATGGTACGAGGCCGCAACGGCCTTCGGTATGTGGCCTTCGGCTCTGAACACGAGTGGGTTTCTTCTGGAGGCCGCCTTTCGACAAAGTTCAGATCGCTCAGATTTCACGCTCGGTTAGCGGTTCGGTCCCCGCAAGGAGAACTGGACTCTCGCTGTTCGACTCTAGCAGGGAAATAGTCATCATCATTCGTCATCAAATCATTCAAGGGTATACGGGCACTCCCGTCCATCTGTTCGATCTGAGCGCCAGTCTACTTTCTTGGCTTCTTTGGTGCCGGTTTAGCGTCCACTGAGTTCGACCCCTCAAGTGGAAATAGTCATTGTCACAAGGACAAATGTGTCTTTTCTCGATTTTGCTATTGCGACTCAGCACAAGAGCTAGCTACTTGTTGCACTTATTTGTCCCCCGTACCGAAAACCATGAAACAATGGTTCTGTTCATGGCCTCTCTTCCATATGTGGATTGACCATCACCCATATAAACATATGTTCTGTGTCGCGATTCTCATCGCAAAATTGCCACCATCGAAATCTTTGAGGCTGTATATATATGGAACGACTTTTATTGCAGCATGTACCGGGGGATTTGCTTGTCTAGCCAATAGCTATATGATCGATAATGCACAAGTGGGACCGTAGGTGATTTCACTCACAATCTTGAGCATCTGGTCGACCAAACATCAAAGGCACCATGTGCGATATTGTGCGAATACAACCGCAAAAGCCCACACAACCAAGAAATTTCAATCGGGAACCCGCTGGCGGCGATATCATAACGATCCGACATGACATCCTATATTTAAACAATGTTTTGGACACATCCTCTTCAGCAGTTCTCCCGGCAGTACGTATTCAACTAGGGCACTAAGCCATAGCTGTCACTGCGCCAACAAGCAACAAACATTGAACCCAAAGCGTAGAGAAGTCCCCATACAGGTGTTTCATGATGTTTTATGATGCTTTAAATGTTCTTCATCTGGGCTCTATATATACATCATTGATACAAACCGTAAAATACATTTGGCCCTCCCACTCCAAGAAACAATCGGATACGGATGACGCTTCTGCACGTCGCCCAGGGTGCCTCTCCGGCGCACGAGGTGGGGGAACTGAGAGATGCTCCTCCGTGGAATGGGACATGCTTCACATGGCCATGGCCACATGATCAAGATTATATACCTGGACCATCCAATGGGTGTCCTGGCTGGACTACCCTGCACTACTTTGGGATCTCCAGCCAGGACACCCATTGGATGGTCCAGGTAGTTACCTCCCTGTTGTGGCACCAAAGAAACACAGTGTTCCATAGTTGTCAACTTTGGAGTTGGGATACTTTAAGTGATATGTAATTATTATTTATATAATGACATGTATTATAAAAATTGTGTGCCGCCCTGTCGCCCAACTGAGCAGTTTGGCCAATGATCGAAGAAAGAACATGACTCACGGGGCCCGACAGCAAAAGCAAACAAACCGTCCCTGTCAACTTTCGGCCAACCATGCTTCCAATAGACAAAGATGTCAAACGGGCGCCTCTCATTCAGATTCATGGCATGTTGGTCTCACACACGAGTGAACCAAAAGCTGCAAGCTTCGACGCGGCCTGCGAATCGAAGGAAACACATGGCCATCGAAGTGCCACTACAATCCTTCCCAGTCCAACTGCTCTAATCTAAATACACCAGCCATAATTTGTCGTTTACCACTGAACTTAAGTAAGGATCCTGACCCTTATAGTCCTGTATGTTTAATGTCATGTTCCTTGGCTCAAGACCGTCAAGACCACACTCATATCCCATCACCACCCGCCGTAGCTGCCCTAATTCGCTAAGTCCAAGGCACGAATTACAAAGTCTACGGCTTCCATGACCACATAGTCACCCTGGCAGCAGAGTGGGTGCGTACCTGTTCGTCAACAAAGGACCGATTTGACCGATTGCTGCTCCGACTGCGGCGGCGAGCGTTGTTGCCGACGCGCGAATCGCGGGAATCACGTGCTTCCGAGTGGGCGACCAGGGGTTTTGAAAAAAAACATCCCCGCTGTCCACAATGGTGCCCGGGTATGTATACATTCTACAGTACATATATTGGTAAAGAACCAAGCTTGGTGCAAGCCTGTCACAGCATGCGATTCTTCTCTGCGCTCTGCCTGCGCATCTCTCTCCTGATTTGTATGCCCGTTCGCATGTCTTAGTTCGGTGGCCACCGTGCCACCGGCCCGGAAACACCGTGCCTGCGGCCAAAAGGGTTTTCCCATCCTTGGCGGATGGAGAAATCAAAGTTGACCACTGATGTCGGAAGAAAAGAAACATAACTCAAGAAAGTTAGTATACAGGATCCACCACAACAATGGAAGAGTTATGAAGAGTTGCTGGTTCTTCAGCATGTAGCAAACTCCAAAGATCGTGACTGTACCGACAGTGGCTCCCAAGAATGGTCACTGATCCATGGACACTTGGTCTACCCATGGGAGAGAGAGAAACGCTTGGCATGAATGATCTTAGTGTCCATGAATGGCCTCGGTCCACCTTTCGGTCCTTCCGGCCGTGCGGCGGACTTCCGGCGCAGCGCCGCCCAGTTCACGGCGCGGCCGGCGGAGAAGGGCACCAGGTCGGATTGCAGGTGCTCCTGGGGGATGGAAGCGAAGTGAAGCGAATGGATTTGAAGGTGTTGGAGGTGTGTTGAAATCAAGAGTGATTGACATCGATTGTTTCACTATGTTTCACTAATCACTCTTCACTTATGATGTTCCTATTGATATTGATTTTCTCTTTTTGGGGGGGGTTCTATTGCTTTCTGTTCTTTTCAAGTGCTTGTCAACCTTTGGTCCTGAGTCCTGGGACTCTGCGCCTACAGTAAGCAGTAAGCTGATCTGTTGAATCAATTCTGTAGTAAGGCCTCATATAGTTACTGTTGATGGACTAAGCCTTCCTAATTCGCAACCACCTGAAGTCCTTGCTCCGCATTGTGAATGCACTATGTTCCAAACAATTTAATAATAGGGGCCCCTGTTGTGACCCTACAGTGGCCTGGAGTCGTCTTCCTGCACCGACACCATGGTCAACCATGGCACGGACGCCGCAAAAACAAGACCCTCAAAACAAAACGATCCACATGATTTTCTTTGGTGATGGACATTTGATCCACCCCTTTCCATATTTTTTGCGCGTGTGAAATGCCGCCAAGGGTCCCACTTGTCAGCGCGGAACAGGATGTCCGCGTCGTTGAACTGCTCCTGGCCGGGATGAACGAGCCGAAGGGGCTGAACGAGCCGAACTCGGAATTATATAGGGCAACTGGTGTGGTCCCAAATTCCGCACAAGTAGAAGAGCCTCTCAAGCATGCGCAGTGCTAGGTGTAAAATTGCAAAACACATCTATATCATGGTGCACACTGTACTAACTTTGAGAAGTATTTTGGGGATCCAGTTCGGGTCCAGTTCATATCTCCGCGTGATCAATTTTTCTGGGTCCATGCCAGTCCAAACCGAAGGTTCCCCCCCTTTTTTGCCTGCCATGATTTCACCCCTGTGATGAATTCACCACTGCTTGATACTTCTTTCCCTGCACTTTTGGTCACTTCTGAAAAACCTGGTGGTTTTTATGTTTTTCACCGTTTCACCCGGCTCACTGAAATCTATGGGCTGTGATTTGGGGTGACCAAAACTTAAGGGGGGTGGGTGTTTCCGCTGACCTTTCTTGTTTGTTTTTCACGTGATTTCATGCGATTCGCACGTTTTAAGGGTCATTATATATTATATATTGCGGTTTGATCGGCTTCAGCTGTTTTGGGTGATTTTCATGTGATTTGCTTTCTCTACCTTGGCCCAGGATACCCAGGGCAATTCCACAGCTCCACAGGACCCCTTCGTTTTACAGATGGTGCATGCCACGTTTGGATTTTTGTTTCACATCTGAGACGTCTGAAAAAGCAAAGACCTGGTCTTCTCATCGGCTCACAGATGCAAGAATGCAAGACTTCATATAGGATTTCCATGGATTTCCATGTGTTGAATGGGGTGTTCAACATATAAGGATTCCCATATGGATTCCCCCTTGACCCCATGCTCCCGCCCGTTTCAGCTGGGGTTCAGTGGCACCACCTGTGGCGAATGCATACCTGCGGTTCCAGGGCGAACGCCCTTGGACTGCGGCATGTGCCGATCATGTGCCCCAGAAAAAAAAGCTGAGGATTCAACGATGGCAAGCAAGTAAGCAGTATGAGGACGTTCGTAGGTCGCAGTAACCATTTCTGCGCATCTTGCTTCAAGGGAATAGGATGGAATAGGATGCGCCCAATGTTTCATGATCCTGATTTTAAGATCGCAGCCATCACTCCTAGCCCAAACCCCCTCTTCCCCAAAGCAGTTCGCGGTTTTTGGCGACAACTCCAAGGGGTGGTGCCAGGCTGGGGGCACCTCAGACCTGGCACCAACCCTGGTCCCCTAGATAACCATCCCTGGGATGGTGGGATACATTTGTAAGGCTTCGCGCATTTCACCACAGCTCCCATCTGGGGCGGGTGGGCAGGGTGCAAGCAAGGCTGCGGCTCCTGAGCAAAGAACACCTGTTCAAAACAAAGGGCACCACCTGAACTCAAGGAACAACATGTTCAACCGGAAGGGGGTTGGGATGTGGAGTGATTCCCTTATGCAGAGTATCCCTGCAACGTTCCCCTCCCTCCCAGAAAACACTGAAACCTTTGGATCATGGATCACAATGGATCACACTGCGAATCGTCAACTGAGTTGACTATGTCCCTTGAGGAATCTTGGCGCCAGCAAAGCCCTAGTAACTTGGTATCATATTACACTACCAGGGAACACTGGAACACCTTAAAACACATCAAAAAAAATGTACAACAGAACAAATGAATGACAAACCTCCTTTGCCACCTGGAGCGCCTGACCCACTGGAGTTTAACTAGAAAAGCCCGGAACCAGATGGCCAGCAACTCACCAAGGCCAAACAAAACTCTGCTAGCCAACACCCCCCTGTCACCTCGCCCTCCCACAAACGGCCCTGGTGGCACCCAGGCACTTGTTCCCTGAGACCTGGTTCAAGCGCTCCAAGATCGCGTGCTTCTCGTGCCACATCTCCGGAATCGCCGCGATCTCAGGCTGCATGCCTTGACCCGGTCCGGTCGGGTTGCGGACCGGGGAGCGAGCAGGACGGTGGTCGTGTCCAACTTGTTGAAGCTGTGTCTAGCTCTTGGGGAAAACAATACTTGAGAGGAGGGAGACACGAAAGGTAGGACAGCGGGAAGAGAAGAGAACGCGAGAGGCAGGAACAAAAATGCAATGTTCGACATGGTAATTTATCCCCTCGGAGGCGACCTTTCGTAAATATAATTTCATATGCACTCTAACTGTTCAAACATATGCTCTCGAAATGTTCACAAGGATTCTTAGGAAAACAAACTTGCCCCATGGCTCAGATCATCGGTGAGCATTGAATCGGAGCATCATAGGATTTGAACTATCCTGAAACCATAAGAGGCTCACGAAGACGTTACCCAGGAGAGAATTGACATGCTTCACAAAACAAACTCTAGGTATGTATCCCCTCGGGGAACACCTTTCGTGATTAGAATTTCATATGTACTCTTTCTGAATGTTCAAGAGGGTTTCAACTATCCTGAAATCATGAGAGGCTCACGAAGACGTTCTCCACGAGAGAATTGAATTTAGAGGGAGGGGGCTCGGTATTGAAAAATCAATTCCCCGGAGGGCGGGAGGGGGGGTCTGTATTGAGAAATCAATTCGAAGGGGGGGGGTTGAATTGAACTATCAATTATTAGACCCGGACGCGCCGACACTTGCTTCGCAAGACAAACTCTAGGTATCCCCTTAGGGGCTACCTTTCGTGATTAATTACTTGGCCCCTGGAAACTCACAGGTGAATTGCATAGTCTTCCAAGGTCTCTGTGGATTCATGTGAAAAATATTGCTCGGCCTTGTGAGTGAAAGTCGGAAGTCAGTGGATTCCATTCTTAAATTGGACTCCGCTGAACACCTGTGACAGGAAGATCCATGCCCTCCTCGAACGGTTGAGGCGGTGTCCGCTCATTAAACTACCCCTTAGCATCCAACAGGCCCTGCTTTCGCTCCAACCACCCCCAGCCCCGACTTCCGCCCAAGGGGCGCATGAGCTCGTCCACCACGGGCTGGATGCGCCCGGCCAAGGTGAAGACATACAAGTTCCAGGTGACAAAGCGGGTCGGCTCTCCCACGCTCGAGCCTTCCAAGATGTGACAAATCCCACCGACACGACTCGTCACATCTCGTTACCATAATGTGATGCTTGACACCTCCCCAAGCCGACGCAGCGTCTGCACGGATGAAAACGATGCCGTTTGCAAGACGTTTCACACTATCAACATTGTCTGAAACATATTCAAAGCTATATAATATATATATACCTAGAACCTCGTTAGGCAATATATAAATTCCGCCCAACGCCATTGAGACAAACAATTCAGCCCGTTTTTGCAAAGAACGCCTAAGCTACAGCCTCGAGGGTCAAAAAACGCCGAGGCACAATCACATGCATTCATACATGCAGGAGGCAGAGCCAGAATTTGAATGAAACAAATTGAGAAAACAAACGCCTGCCACTTGACGCTAATCCCCAGTCTAAAGTAATTGAAACTCATGTCGCTCACTCCCCCCCTAAAAGGCTACCATTCCGTTGTCCACCCAACTACTGATTGTAGTGAGGGGGGAACGGGCAAGAACGCCTAAGTAATGGGCAAGAACGCCCAAGTAACGGGTAAGAACGCCAAAGTGACGGGAAGAACACCTACTCAATGCATAGAAAAACTAAAAACATACCAAAGAGATCACAAGAGGAACATTAAGTGAATTCATGACAAACAAATGTACCTCACTATGAAAGTTACTGGAATCAGTGGTGGGTGGATCCTCATCTATTTCAGCAAGGCCACCAAAAGATACCAAAAGGACAAGAATGCCCAAGCACGGGCAAAGCCGCCTTTACCCATAATAGGCACAAATGTCTGCCCAAGAAAAGGCTATAGGATGCTATAGGTATTAAAAACATATGAGAACCAAATGTTACGGGTACCATGATACAGTGAAACGACATACTTGTTCCATCTTGCTCCCCTCATCCCATCCATCCAAATACCAGGGATCCCAAACCATCCCAGCTCGCCCACCTGATGTCTGCCTCGCTGGCGCCACAGCTGCGCCTCCTTCGGCATCAATCCCAAGGGGCCAAGCACATTTGGAGGCGCCAAAGGAGCAGGATGCATCCAGCTGCAAGTGGCAATCCCAAATGGGATTCGCGTTGCTCTCCTCCAGGGGGGACATGAAGTTGAGATAAACGTAGAAAAATGGCCTCAGCCTCTCAGTCTCAAAAGGCCATCTCCGGATATGTCCCCAACAGTCTACCAGCCGACCAGGGGAAGCACCAAAACCAGTTGAACCGGTCATCAAATCCTCTGGTGGAGGTTCTCCAAAGTCGGGCTTCCCAAAACCGCCAGACTCAGCCGACAGCTGACTCATCTGCAAGCAGCACCCCCCCGTTGGTTCGCAACGCTCGCCGCCGCCGCGCCAAGCCTCCTTAAAGCATGCAACCGGCTCAAGCTGCTGCCCACACCATGAGCCTGCCAGGAGTCTGTCCTATACCTCGCTGACTCCAAAAAGGGGAGGCACCTGGAAAAGAACGTTGCAATGAAGGAGGAAGTTCAATCATGGGACGTGTCATTTCCACAAATCCCAGAACATCGCCACACCAATTCCAAGGATCCTCCGGGGGATCTCCAGAATGCTACTATGAAACGAAGACTCTAAGGCCAAAAATGCGAGGATCGTTGGATTCCATGCCACTCCCGCTGGGGAAGGAGGATGGTGGAGGAATCTGATGGGCCACCCGCAATCCTGATGTTTATGCCACACCGATGACATGCAAATGCAAAGTCCAAATAATCCAACCTCCATGTCCCGTCCACGCCGTACGCCCCACGCGTAGCCGTACGCCTCGGGCGCGTTGGAAGTTCGGCTTCCCCTCGCAGCTCGGCAGCTCGTTCAAGGCACGAGAGGCAAATCGGTCGACGCCGCGCAAGGCTGGCACGGAGTCCTGCGGGGATAGCAGGAGAATCGGAGAAACATAGAGTGGTGCAACTTATATAACCTAATGATCCTATTGAGGGCCTCACCCAGGGAAGCCTATAGTTTGAAGTGGTTTCGGATGGTTTAAGGGATACATACAAACCGCCCGGGGGATGCCGGGATGTCCCAAAGCCCCCAATACGATTTGCAAAGCGCCGTTCCTGTGCCACCACTGCATGAAGCAGCACAAGGGCAAGGCCGTATGGTTGGGGAGCCATGTCGTATGGTTGATCGATCAGGGCGGAACTGGAGCCAAGAAAACTGCAATGTGCAAAAGGGACAGTTGCGGGGTAAGGCAATCCACAATCCTGGACCAAGCCGGAAAGAGAGCGTAGTAAAAGACCTTATGAAACTGTGATGAAACTGTGATATTCACACACGACGAGAGGGATGATTGTGGACTTCATTCGGAGGTTCCCACGAACCTAATATATTATATAATATAGTGCGTATGAGTTTATACAACTCCCTCACGTCAACTTCTGGGCTTTCAACATGATGCAAGCAAAAAAAAAATAAAAAACATAGAATCACTACGTATATATGTATACATCTACAGTCACATCATTGATGATCCATCACCATTGAATATGTCCCGTCTTGTTCCTTCATACAGTTGTATATATATATATATCATATATCCCTCAATATATAAATATATATATATATAAATCATAAACCATCAATCATGTATCAATATATATCTGTTTCCCCTATATATCTCCCTCACGTCTGTCCCTCACACCTCTCTCTGGTGCCTCTCCGTGAAACCGCACGTCGCTGGGCAACCCGGGCGATCTCCGCCGCCAGCACCGAGGGCGTCCGCCCGGGCGCGCGCATGGCCTCCGACAAGGTCCGCAGCACTCGCGCGCGGTCGTCACCTGGACGGTGCGCGACTCGGTGCGCGGTCCGCTGGGCACTGATGTAGCGGATGAGTTGCATTGGGCGACGTCCGGCTTGCATCTTCATCTTCATGCCAATTGTTTAATAGAATTCGCAGGTGAAATCCTCCAAGATCCTCCGGTCGCTAACTTCGCACATTTCTCAAGTCAACATGTGCCCTGCATCACCCACACAGGAGCTGCCCGCAGGTGATGTCGCACGCGCCTGTGAGAGACTCCGGCCGTGTGGAGCTGTCGCTGTAGAGGCCTCAAATGAAGCATTGCAGGGGTTGACGCACAAATGAACCAGGGAAGGGATCCTTGGAAACTCCTTGGAATCTGGGATCTTCTGGGCCCGCGGCGGAGGGTGGGTGATCGGGCTGCTTCCCTCGACTTTCAGGAGCTTCGTGGCATACCATGCTCCCATCATGGAAATGGTTGCCTTGGTTCTTTTAATGGTGGGGTTCTTATCCTTGTTGCTTTGCTGGGAACTTCTGAGCATGCTTCGTGTTGGGATGCGTTGGGTGACACCTGGTCGCGATCCGCATGGAGAATATCCGGGTGTGATACGGAATGGAACAACCCATCATTGAGGAGTGAGGCCACGGACAAACCCATAAAATCTGGGACAAAAATGGAATCTAAGCTTTGCTTCCAAGTGGCTCATGTCGCTTCGAGCGGTGGTGCGCGGTGTGACCAAGCCACGCCAGTCGGCTTCAAGACATGCCTGACCACATCGAGGAGAACTACGGAGAGACAGAATCTGGTTTCCCCAGGCTATATAATCAGCAACAGGACAGATTACATACCAGCAAACTCACACATGTTCGGATGGTTCTGGTAGGGGTTGTTTGGATTATCCAGTATCCATGTTATATTGCAAAAGTTTGCTGCTGGGCATACCGAAACCACCAACTCATGCCAACCTGTTTGTATGGCCGTGGTTTGCAGGTGTCACAACGCCAACCAGGGCAATTGTACCCAAGGGTCTATACAGCAGGTGCCTGATGCTCAACTCATCCCAATTCTGAGAGTGGATAGGTGCCTGACCCTCACAAACAAAATGGAAGGCAACAAAAACCCGCTCTCCTTGTGGTCAAAAGGGTGGGTGGTAGGGTCACATCCCGAAGAATAAAAACAACGGAAAAGGACACGCACTCACAAACTCCTTAGAGCATTCTTCGGCCATCAGTTGGTGGGTCCTCAAGTTACATCAGTCCTCATTGATCTACCCGCCCAGTCACGACCTCCATCTGTGCGCCGCGGTAGATCTGCAACAGCTCTCGGTCCTGGCGCCCGAGCGACACTCGGCCAGGAAAAACACCAACAGTGGACCTCTGGGAGTTGTTTCTCCAGTCTGCACTTGAAACCTCATGTCCCTATTGCTGTCCCTTTAACAAAGGTGTGGTGAGCTGTTGCAATGGTGAATCCATGGTGAACCACATGCATCCCCTCCTCGGGCCTTTCTGCTGCATATTTTTCGTGACTGACAGCCAAAGCAGCCTTCAACCAACAAAGGAATGTCTGAGGCCTTGGTCTCAATATCTGAGCGACTGGCCCCCACAGAAACGCCAGAAAATTCTGTTGTCCCTTCTGGTCAGAACAAATCAGGCTCATGCAACTTGACAGCATTTGACAACCCCCGCTGGGTTTGGAGTCACCTCCACGGATGGGAAAAGCACCAGCTCCGGAATCCTCCGTTCCTACCCCACCTTCAAGCGCAAGGTGGACCGCTTGGGGGCCGCTGCCACCTTCACGTCCACGTCGTGCCGGGGACGTGGATCGGAAGCACCTCCTGCATCGGGGCCCCCAGGCCCCCAGGCACTCCATGACCACGACCGATCTGCGGGGATGGGAAAAGTTAAAAAACAGGATGCTCATGGAAGGGTGTCGTGGAACTGCACTTCCCGGCTGGAGTGCTTGGAATGTAGGTTGCTACAGAAATCAAAGTGGCACCACGAACAGTTCAAGCCTTGGAAAACACTGCCTCTTTCAGGTGGATGGGGAGTTTGGCAATGCATGGCATCTACAGTTCAACTCCGAGATTCGGTACCATGGCATGCTCCCAATCCGGTGCAAGTCCAAGTGCTGGTTGAGAAGAATGGTGTTTGTCACAAAGCTGGAAGAATCCAAACCGCGTGGAAAGAAGTCCCTGGACCGGTCTCTTCATTCTGGCTGGTGGCTTCCAGGGTATATTGCCCAAGTGACAAGGCAACGGCACTGGCTACCATGCCGGACACGTGAAAAAAAGACACCGGTACAGGAAGTGGACACTTCTTGGCAGCTCAACCAGGTCCCCAATGTAACACCGCTCCATGCAGGAAGCTCCTTTGCCGTGAAAAAGCTTGCTCTCAAAAGAGTCTAAACAAACACAGCCTACACGACATGCTTACATCAGCTTACGCGACATGGAGGTGACAAGACTGGTCTTCATTCCGTTGCCCTTGCTTTCGTTTGCTTTCTGACAGAACACGACATGGTCGTGTCATCCCTCCATCCTCGCCTCTGGACACTTCACTCCTCACCTCGACCTCGTGAGCTTCTCTGTCACCTGGCCCACCCGCCGGACGGATGGCGCCGGGGATGGCGCCGGGGATGGCGCCGGGTCGGCTTGCGGTCGAAGGATCCAAGTGGTACTTCCTCATGGCTATGGGCTCTCAATCACTCACTCACTCACTCACTCACTCACTCACTCACTCACTCCCTCCCTCCCTCCCTCCCTCCCTCTCCCTCCCCCTCTCCCTCCCTCCCTCCCTCCCTCCCTCCCTCTCTCTCTCTCTCCCCGTATCTGTCTGGCTATGAGCTTTCGCTTTCGCTTTCGCAGAAAACCAAGAAAATCCATGCATATATAGAAAACTCAAGATGCCGATCGAGTCCAAGCATAAAATGTCATGAACAATGCCCACCTTCGCTCCGGTCCTGGGGAAGGAACCGCGTGGCGAAGGCCAAGGTATGCACCTCGATGAGGCCCACAGTGGTGGTAGAACCGACCGGACAAAATGGATGGAACTGCAAAAGGGCTCTGGGCTTTGAATAAATGACGTCCGGTTCTCTGAGTTGAGTGGCATTCTTAACAGCCGTCAGGCCGTTTAGAAATGATTGATTAGTAATGTGTGTTTGCGCGCAGGCCGCAATTTGTTTGTTTTAGCTATCTTAGGCCACAGGATTTTGGGGAACTAAGAGAACCAAAAACTCTCTGCCCTGAGCTCCCCGACGATCTTTTGCGCATACCTGGGGTGCCAAAGCCGCTGATTGACTCCCTGTGGTGAATACACAGAAATTGAAACCCGGACTCTGACCCAGTAGGTCCTGAAATCCCGCACCCCTGCTGAATCAATAGGGATCCTGGATGTGATGCCTTCCGTCCTTAACGATCATTTTGAGCACCCAAACAAAACCATGGATCGCCAAGGGTGCCTCACTGGGTCGCAAAGGATCTGTCAAGGGACAGCCACATACAGCCGCCAAATCCAACGAAAAGGCCAACGAAATCCGTCTGAGCTTTTGAAGATTGCCCCAATGGGATGTGTTAAGCCCAGGGATTTTTGCCTCTGGCCCATGAGTTGCTTGCTTCACAACTACTCAAAGATGAGCAGCATGTGTTAACAAAGGCCATGCACGCATACTTCTTCACCCAGGGTCTGCCTCGCAACTCTCCAGTTCGCGACGCCCTGGACCGTTGTGAAGGGATTCGATTTGAACCAAAACCGCTGGGTCTCTGTCTCTCTCTCTCTCTATCTCTCTGCCCCCCATGTAGATGCAACATGTGTGTTAAACATATATGTGGAATGTGGTGGACTGACTAACCCAAAGCCCCAGGTACGAAGACCATTGTTCAATGCTTCGGGCCTCGTCGACTCGCTCACGCGGTGTTCAACCGAGCCACGAGGAGAGCCGTTCCAGGTGGTGTTCCAAGAGCTCCGCTTGGCCGGCCGTCAAGTTGATCTGATCCTCAAACCGAATCGGGGTCGCTGACAAAGGCCACCGGGTGAAAACAGGGGCACTACTGTGTGGTTCTGTATGGTTTTCTGGTCCTGATAAATCAAACTGGAGCAAAAAACTCAAGGATTGCCACTTTACATTTTGTGACCCATGCAAAGAACTACACCCACTCCCCAAGCAAACTGTAGCCACAACCTGAATTTATCACAGCTGATGCCAGCTATGTCGTCATATCCGGCTACAACACCGGAGCAGGTGAACCACCCACACATCTGTCTTGAGTGGATCTTGGCCGCAGGCATGTCCCACATTGTCCCACTGCCCACCCATCACATGCCGCGAGGGCGCGCTGCCCGCGCTGCTGCGCAGGTGATGGACCAGCAGCAGGCGCAAGCCTCCAAACTTGACACCCGCAGCAGGGAGATTTATGATTGATTGCGGTGATGGCTGCTTTCATTTGTGGAGGTACCAGTAGTTCCCATATGCATCTTCGGATGAGCCTGGGGACTGTTCTGATACGACAAGGGTGCAGTTTCCGAAACCCTGTGCATAGAGTCTCCACCATGAACATGCAGTTTGAGCATCCAATCTCGTCATCATCGTCATCTATTGGTGAATGCTACAGGAGCTACCCGTGTACCCCAGTATGACCAAAATAAATTAAGCACTTCAAGACACAGGTGTTCATGAAAACTGCTGTCAATGAGAATTCGTGCTCACGACAGTGCATGGGGGCAGCGGAGTTCCAACCTGTTCCAATCTTCCAGCAACAAATGAAGCCCACAGCACAGGTCATCTGAACGCATATATAACATTATATACATTGCCATGGTTGACATCAAAATGGGTGCTTTCCCCATGGAAAATCCCTGTGCCACTATATGATATGTAATACTCATATATATTATGTATACATATAGAGAGAGACAGATATATATGCGTGTACTTTGGTCTGTGCTGGCACAAGTCCCCGACCCAACAAAAGTCCGCCTTCCAGCAGGGAGGCACCACTGGGGATCAGCACATCAGGGAGCTCCTGGAATACCAATGCGGGACACATGGGAATGCCAAAATGAACTGTAGGACATCAGTGTTGGGACATGAACTACTTCCGATCGACTTTCGATGCTGGTGCCATCTTGGGTCTGATTCTATGCACAAAACGCCCAGGGTTGGCCTTTGACTTAATTAGTGAAGCTTTCGGCTTGCCGATTGAAGAACATGATCGGCCGTCAGGACTGACGGACTTGTCGGGACAAACGCCATGCTCGTCAGGACCGTTCGTGTGACTGGTGAGGAGCCGTGGCCGTGATGGGTCAACAAAACTAAGGCGACATTCAAATGATTGTGGATAGCGGACAATCGTAAACGACCCGTCCTTTTTGGATGGTAAATGCAACATAATGCAAATTTAAGCAAACCAATTCTCCGAAATACACAACAGGTGCAACAAAATTTAAATCATAACCTCATGATACCTCATGAGTTCTGCGAGTGGTTGCCATTGGGACCCAAGAATGGACAGCACTTTTGTGGCATTTGGTCCATCAGTTCTCAAGTGCCTCCACAAGCTTTCTCTTCCAACACCTCAACTTCCTCAAGCCAAAACAGAGTCCGCACAATGAGGTGCGATGAGATGTGCGTCACTTTTTTGCTTGGCAGCGCTGCCAACCCATTCGGACGGTGCGTCACGTTATGCCACGCACCGATCACAAAAGCCAAACGGTCCGCCACATCACTTGGGTGTGCAAAAGGCTTCTCTGAAAGGGTGGTGGTCTACCGCAGGAGGATGAGCACTTCATTGCCATGCACCTAGCTTCCACCTACGATCTGATATTTGACACATGTGAGGTAGCCATGATGAATGCAGCAATGCACCAACACCAACTAAGAAAGCTTGACAAAATCCGTTTCAGACAATCTCAACAAGATTCAACAAGGATCCTACCATATCGTAACAAAACATCCAGTACCACAATGGCCTTCGTTGAACAGGTATCCAAAATGGGGATCACCATGGTTCACCATCCACCTCATGGATTGGGGCTCGAGAGTGCGGTGGCCATTCCCAAGCCCCAAAGAATACACATCCCAATTGATTGGCTGCTGACTGGCTTCTTCTTCCTTTCCAGGCTCATGCAATTATTGTACGCGACTCATCCGCGGTGCCCCGTTTCCCGGCATCAATTTGTCGCACCAACACACATGCATTTTCATCAAACCAACCACAACCATAACCAGTTTTAGAAAGTCATGGTGTCATAACCAACCATAACCAATCAAACCAACCAGAACCATGACTTGAAAGTGTGTCAAACAGTAGCCCGTGTGTCAAACAGTAGCCATGCACAGCTCGTCCAGACATCGCCGTGCGAGTATTAGTGCTGTTTACCGAGTGGATGATGGACGTGATCATTGTTGACCGACTGGTACAGGTCATGGGACACCCCCAAAAGCAAAAGAGCCACTATCAATTGTTTTATATATGAAGCACATCAATACCGCCTTTGTCAAACAATGTCGCGGACTCTCCCATCCTCCACCAAGGTGTAGGGTGTTCCAAAAGGGTGCTCGAAACAGGCGTGGCGTTTGTCTTTGTGTGATTTTCACGGTAGGTCCATGTAGGTCCAAGTGTAGGTTGAGTCATGGGAACTTTGCGCATCACGCGTGCCCAAATCACATACATACATAACGGAAGCAAGTTAGGAAACGAAACAGCGCAAAACTCATGACCTGTGAAGCTGCTTTTCGCTGTCAGATTCCTTGCAACCGTAATTTGACGATCAACAACGCAGGCTCATGAAGGCACGACTACCCACATGATGATACCCCACGTGGGTCAATCCAAAGAAATCAGAACAGTTGCAAAAACCATTGGGTATCACATCATATGTGATGTTGACACAGGATTGAGTAACCACCCCCTATTAATCAAGCCCAGCTGCCCCAGAAAACGAGTAATTCATTAGTATATTGTTTAAAGCTGCAATCTAAGCTGCCAATGTTCTCCCCGGCAATCTTTGTTCCAAGATGCCTAAAAACATCTCTAGAAAATTCTGTCAGTTTCCCCTTATTAAAACTATCAAAATCTTAACCGCTTCAATCTCACAAAGGGTACCGCTCTCACAGGCCTCAGTGTTCACACAGAATCCTATCAACCATCATCCATCATCAGGTCATCACTTATAATAAGGGGATGTGGTCTCCAATACCTCCAATCTCAAACCTTGTTGACCTTGAAGGAGGGCAGGTTTATTAATCCGGTGTTTACTGCATGATTCGATGGCATAGTTGAGATAGTCGCTAGACTATGCTATACTAACATAACTACACCAACACGGTCCACAAGAGGTGCAGGTACGGACAAAATCCTACGAATCAATCAATGCACCAGACTCCAACAGCATGTGCTTTTCGCTCTGGCTCTTTCCAAGGACTTTGGCACAAACACCAACCAGCCATAACCAGCCCATCCAGTGATCTACACTTAAAAACAACAAAAAAACATACTATCTACCAACACCGGGGCACGCCGGTCATGGAGGGGCCGCACGGCAAAGCCAACCTGTCGCTGCGACAGGTTCATAGGCTCAGTCGCTCTAGTGAATTCACGATGTGCGGAGAAGTGGTTTATTAAAAAGCCCTCTCCACTCACAGCCCATCGCTGGCCCGACCCTTGCCGCGCGAGCCAACGGTGCAAAGTAAGCAAGCTGCGCCCAAGGGCTGTATCAGGGCTACCGGAGAATATCACTTGCAGATCTTGCAGAATCACCCAGGCCAAGATCTAGAGAGTACGAGTATGATTATGATTCAACATTCTTACCCCAGCAAGTGAGGTTGGATGCTCCGATGCAGTTTAACAATTGTTTGACCCTCATACACCCGCGTATCCATTTGCCAGTTGTTGGTCATGAAGTGAGTTCAAAGTAAGTGACCCACTCTCATAAACATCATAAACATCCATTGTGCCAACCACCTACAGTGACCTACAGCCTTCACTGGGAGAACATGTGCCTTCTAGACCAATTTGCTGAGACGTCCCTGGACTGGAGCCCTTCGACACGAATGCGCCGTGTTGCAGGGCCCCCAAAGGGGCCGCACAACACAGCCAAAATCCCGAATTAACAAACCTTGGCCTTTGCTCTGGGGCTCTTCATGGCTCTTCTATCGGTGGCCTTTGCTCCCGCGCACTGAGAGAAGAAGATTCGGTCGACCCTTTTGAGAAACACAACTTTGTATTCCTCACATGTAAAAACAAACCGGTCACCCGCGTGAGAACTCCCAGATTGGACACATTCACTGGCCATTTATCCTGTCAATTTCACACCATTTGTATCAGCAAACTCACTTTCATGCGGCCTGTCCAGCCAACAGCAGAACATACATTTTGGGGGCTGTTTTAGCCTCCAACATGGGAATGCCTGTTGTGTCTCTTTGTTGCACGTTCGGTTTCTTGTTTGTTTGTTTGTTTGCTCGCTTGTTTGCTCGCTCGCTCGCTTGCTTGCTTGTTTGTTTGTTTTGTTGGTTGGTACATAAGCAGCAAAGGTGACCACGTGGGCAAAGTGTTGGGAATCTATCGGCAGTCCAAGAACGGGGTGCCTTGATAATCTTGATACGGTAGGACAAGTTCAATCGACATGTTGCAAAAGCAAGCAACAAACTTGGAGCTGTTGGTAGGTCCTTAGGTGCTCTTAAGCCTCATATAACTGTACACTGTAGATGCTCTCACTTCTCGGAGAGGGCTTTTTCCTCAAACAGCTGGATCGGAAACAGCACAAAGCAAACCGGCCAATTACCGAAAACATATGGAAATGTTCTGCGAGGATCCCGATCGAAACAAGTCCGAAGCAAATAACTATGCATGTGCCTTTCAACCAGACCTGAGGCTATGAATGATTTGTTCAACACCTCCTGGGTTGTGTTGGCTCTCTCTTTTTGATGGTTATGTCTCCTTTGCATTGAAATTTGGTATTCAAAACCCATGTGACTCATGTGCTGTGCTGCTTTCCATGGGATGTGTTACTCGCGTCTGAAGTTACCCTTGCAATGGCCAAACGTGCATCTCCGCCCCAGCACGTTCTACTCTCTGCCTCTCCCCCTTTGCCGCACTTGCGGTTGCAACTGAACACATTGATTTGTAGCAACCAGAATCTTCCCAAGGCCTAAACATGACCTAAACATGCGAACCATGCGTGAATCCCTATTTTGGATTCATAATTCGATGTCTGCCATCTACAGGTTAGAAAAAGAAACTGGGGATCTCTGCCAAAATTGCCAAAGCGGGTCACTGTTACGGAGCAATAATTCCACACGGGGAGCCATGTAAGACCCATCCACGGGTGTATCGGTCTGAACAGTCTCTCCGTCTTGCTGTAATGCATGGACAAAGGAACTTATGTTGTAGAATCAATTCTGTAAACCATGTAAACAAAGGGCCCCTTCATGCCCCCTCACGGAACGGACACCGGCGTGTCCGCGCCAAAGGGTCAGGGTCAAAGAGACTGAAAGCCGTGCCAAAGCTGGGAAAAAATCGCACAGCCTCGAAAACTGCCTGTTCAAAATCTGAATTATGTATCCTTGCAATATCCACACAGGTCTCGTGCCTGCCACCAGCCACCGTCGCCACACCACTTAAGAGCCGCTTGAGCGACGTCAAAAAAACCTGCTTGAAATTTCTGCCAAACACTGCTCTGTCAGTTACAGTAATCAATGGGAGTAACTCTATATTCTAGATTCACTCTAGAATCTCTAGACTCTAGAATGAGGGATCTGAAACAACCTGCCCCCAAACAAGTCAACCTGAACCAAGCCAAGTTGAAAGGAATTAAAGATTAGTATCAGCCAATTCTTTGGTGTCTCCACTTGAGCCCAGTGGACACCCTGCAGGTTCCTTTTGTTCGCCCCAATTCCTTCGCTTCGCGGCTCGCCCAAACTCAGCGCAAGACCAGATCTCCAGAGACTGCACGGTGATCTGATCCGGCTGCGCGAGGCCAAATCTGCGACTGAACCAGTGAGTGTCCCACCGTCAAAGGCGTCTTCTGAAAGTAGACATAGTCCTGAGATGCTCAGTGCTTCGCGCCCGGGTCGAGTCTTCGGTCCCGGAGGAAACGCGGTCGAAGCAGAAACACCGGTGGCATCCATTGCCACGGTGAACCGTCTGTGGCATGGTGTGGCCCTGCGAGCGCTGGAAGGTCAGGAACCACACATATGAAACATATGAATATATTGTGAGTTCTCCAGATTTGGAGCCACCTGAGTCACCTGAGACACCTCATTTGAGGGCCAGTGAAGTAGCACATACATTTACCGTTTACCCTATTTATATCTATATTTATGACCCTAATGACATCTAATGTCTGTAACATTCTGTAACTATTACCCTATGTGGTCTATGTGTCGTTGCGACTAGTATGTGGATGGGTCCAGTTTTTGATTGATGGAGGCCCTAGTGACATCCGATGTCTGTATTTATTCCATATATGTCGATGGATGGATGGATGGATGGATGGATGGATGGATGGATGGATGGATG